ATAAACATTATTTAAAAATTTCATAAATTTCATTAATATTAGATGAAATTATGCGCCCCAAAAAAATAGCAATTTTGCAAAAAGTGTTTCTTAAAATAAAAATTAAAATATTTTTTTTAATAGTGATATTAAAAAGATTAAAAATAAATAAATTCTAAATAAAATGTATGTATCAAGTTAATATTTTAATTTATGTTATATATTTTTTTTAAGTAATAAGTTCATTATAAATTTAAACAAATTTTTATTTCCAAAATTATTAATTAAATTATTAATTACACTAATTAATATTATTATTATTCAGACATTGCTCATATAATTGATATAAATCTATAAAATATAACACTTCTATATAATTAGAATAAATGTTATAAAACTTAATATATTTAATATAGAAATATTGAATTAATTTTTATAATATATGAAATAAATAAATAATCTTTAATGTATAAATGCTATAAAAAATAAATTTTCCATTTAATGATTTTGATAACAATATTTAAAATTATACGAAATTTAATATATTATTTATAAACATAAAACTTTTATGATTATTTTTATTTTCCTAAAAATTTAAAATATATATATTTTATATATTAATTTAATTATGAAATTTTTATATCCAAATAAAAGACCAATAAAGAATATTAAATATGATGAAAGCTACAGGAAATACAATTCTGCTACGTCTATCAATCCACTGAGCAATTTCTTGTGGTGTCATTGTTGTAAAATTATGTAATTGTGCAAGAGTTGCTCTTCGTGGAAAGGGTTTTGGTGATGATGTACTGTTAACACTTGTAATGCTTTCAATAGAGCATTTTTGATCTTTATCTTCATCAATTTTAACAGAAGGAATGTTAAGGGTACTTGGAAAACTCTGTAAAAAAACATATTTGTTATGAAAAATAATTATAGATTATTTTGTTTACAATTTTATAAATTTTTCTTATGAAATAATATATATATTTACATGTACAGTAAGATAGTTTTGACTTGAATAATCTTGATCATTTATATTTGTATTATCAAGTGATGACCAAGATCGTGATCGTTCTAGCCCAGTAGTGTTTTTTTGAAATTGTTTTCGAGCCAGTTTTGGCGTTAATGTCGATTTTAATATATATTTACTATTTACTTTTTTCAAAGGAACAGTTTTTCTGTATATATTTATTTAAAAAATTAATATAGAATACATTAATAATTGTAATAACATAATTGAATAGAATAAAAACTAATATTCATAAATAAATAATGCATACTTCCGTCGATAAATTGTATTAACAAAAGCAAATTCAACCATTGCTGCAAATAAAAATATAGTACAACCTAAAAACCATATTTCACTAGCTTTTATATATGAAACTTTTGGTAGAGAATTTTCTACTTTTGATGCAAGAGTCATAAATGTTAAAATAGTATTTGTTCCTAGATATAAAAATTTTAATTAATTTTTTATTCTATAATATAATTTTTAATTTTTATTGAGTAAGTATATTTTTTTAAATTTATCACCTAAAACTATTCGCGGTGGACTTGCATCCATATGCAACCAAAAGGATACCCAAGAAATAACTACTATTAATATAGATGGTATATAATAATCCATCATAAAAAATCCCATCTCACGTGCTAATTTAAATGTTATGCTAATTGAACTGAAATTACCAGCTGTAAATAAAAAGCATTATTAATTATATATATATATATA